ATACAAAAGCCACCTCAGTGGCAGCACGGGCTACCTTTCTGTGGCGCAAAAAAAGAGGCACTTTTTGCAGCTTCTTTTTGTACCAGTGAAAGGCCAGATTGGGGGCATGGCGTGTAGTTGCCGTGACCCCGATCTGGCAAGGAAAGGGATGGCGTGCCACCACCCCTTAGGGATAGTCTGTACAGCCTCTAATATATGCAGATGACACCACAGTACTAGCAGAAAACCTCACAGACCTGAAAAACCTACTAAGGAAGATCAAAGAAGTGCAAAGGCAGGCTTAATGCTGAACATAAAGAAAACAAAAATAATGACCACCAAGGATCTTCACAAGTTCAACCTAGACAATGAAGAAATAGAAATAGGAAAAGAATTCACATACCTGGGATCAAACATTGATAGATATGGGAACTGCAGTCAGGAAATCAGAAGATTGAGAATGGGGAGGGTGGCCATGAAAGAACTAGAAAAGATTCTAAAATGCAAACATATACAACTCAGCACAAAAGTTAGAATCATACAAACCATTGTATTCCCTATTCCCATGTATGGATGTGAGACCTGGACAGTTAAGGAAGATGATAGGAATAAATTCATTTGAGATGTAGTGCTGGAGAAGAGTGCTGAGGATCCCACAGACAGCCAAAAGGACAAACAAATGGGTCTTAGAGCAGATCAAGCTGGAAACCTCTTTGGAAGCCTAGATGACCAAACTGAGACTGCCATACTTTGGACACATCATGAGAAGAGAGGACTCTTTGGAGAAAACAATGGTGCTGGGGAAGGTGGAGAGAAGTAGAAAGAGAGGAAGGCCACATGCCATATGGATGGACTATTTATTAAGAGGTTGCAAGAATTAAGCAGAGCAGAGGAGGACAGAGGGTCTTGGAGATGTCTCATCCATAGAGTCGCCATGGGTCGAGATCAACTTGAGGGCAGTTAACAACAAATCAAACATCTTTATGGGAGAATAACATTCATATGCTGACTTGAAGCAAAACTTAAATGGCGGCATCTGAACTATATTAACACAATCTGACTCAGATGTTTTAAAGCTTTCAAAGAGTGACATCAAGTGATAAAATCTAGTATTGCTTATTTTCACTTCATACAATCCAAAATAAATACCAAGTTAAATTGCCAGGTTCTGAAAAGTATTTAAAACAGTACTATAATTTAGGAAGAGCCAGGAAGTAGCCTGAGAATGTCACCCCAATATCAATTTTGGGAAGGCATAACTTTCAGAGTCATTTTGTGGTATTCCAGAACCACGCTTCAAAACCCCAAATCTTTCTTAGGTGCTGAAATGATCCATGGATGCTAACTCCAGTATAACCACACAAGTATCAGCTAAACCACAATCATGAGACGGCAGAGATAGAATTTAAGTTCCAAAATGTGTGGGAGCTGACTATAGTGATTTCTTTACTCCTTTAGTTCATAATAAGAGCCAAAATATTCACTGCCAAATTCCCTTTTTCAAGTTACTCTACTCCTACCCTTCAACTGATATAGAGGGCTATAGTTCAACTGTCCATTTCTTTCTTTCTATGTATCCTATGCATATATACTCAAACCTAACTGAATTCCATGACATTTACCTCCAGGTATGTGCTAGCCGTTATGTAGATTTTTCTTTTATAACCCTTGGGTTTTATCTCTGGCACTTATAATATGTCTGGTATATTCATAATGTGTATGCACAACATGTCTCTTTGGATATGTGCTGAATTCAGTCAGGGATTGAAAATTTTTCTTAGCCAAGAAAAGTTTCCAAATTGTGATCACATGATCATAAACAAGCAACATCAGTAATACCTGTTTGTGTGTGTAGCATATGTCGACATCTCTCACCCCCAAAATTTCAGACAGCCTTTGGTCATTGTCCACAGAGTACTCAGACACAAATTGTCCCAATTTGGCAAGGACAATCCCTATTAATCCTTTGTTGTTCCACTTTTTAACTTGCTTTTAAAATGTCCCAGGTTCTCTCTCCTCCACCCACTTTCTCCCTTGGTCCTCAGTTCACATCCATTGCTGCAAACTGAGTTCAAAGTGCAAAATTAGTTTGCATTCAATTAACTAAGCAGGGGGACAAGGAGGAAGTGGAATTTATCCCTTTCCAACAGACTCAGGCAAAGGTAAACTGCACCCTGTTCTAGCTTGTGTGCTATTCCTCATTAATAACCTTTGACATCCTGATCACATTCTGAT